AAAGGGTCCGTGTGGCAACACAATAAGCAAGGTGAATTATGTCCAATAACGTGTCACCACAACTCTTTCATTTCTACTTATGTGCAAAGTTTTGTTTTGTTGTTTTTTATTCTGCTGCAACGCAAACATTTCCCAATTTGGGATCAATAAAGTACGTCTTATCTTAATACTTAAATATGTTGGTTTGAACGCACTTAGTAATGCTCGGTTTCGGCTGATATGCAACTTCCTGATCTGATCTGCCTTCAGATAAAGTGACCGTTAATCCTCTCTGAAATGTGCATAGAGACGGATGATGGATCTGAAACATGACATAATATGAACAGTGTGTTTATATATTTTTCTATAAAGCACCAACACATCAGATTTCCCGTCAGTAAACCAGGCGACCGTGTTCCCATTTGTCCTCGTCAGCCTCTCGAAGCGCTGACAGGAAACGCAGCTGAGTTTAAAGCCAGAGAACAGCTGACATCCTGTGTGTGTGTCGGTTTGATTCCTCCTCCCGGTGCGTCACACTAAATCTTCCCCCTAATTGACAGAGTGGAGGATGTTTTGTGCCAGGCGCTGACGGCAAGAAGCTGTGAGAGGATGTGTGTGTGTGTGTGTGTGTGTGTGTGTGTGTGTGTGTGTGTGTGTGTGTGTGTGTGTGTGTGTGTGTGTGTGTGTGTGTGTGTGTGAGGATGAGATTACACAGAATATGTCAGGTGTTTTAAATATTTATCATCTTGATCTTTTCTTTATTCACACGGTGCTAATGAGCAACAGCTCTGAAGAGCAAGCTGCACATCCGCTAATGGCCACTAGATGGAGACTCGTAAATGATCTAAACAAAATTCACTTTTATGATTTTCCCTTCAAGATGTAAAGCAAAATCAAATTTAAATGTGATTATTTATTAAATGTGTCATTTTTCCAAATTAATTCAACACTTAAAGGTGGGGTATGTAAGTTTGAGAAACCGGCTCGAGATACACTTGTTGTTATATTCCATGGAATGCTCTTAACGTCCCGATTGCAATGAATATCTGAAGTGCTTTGACAACAAATCCATAACAACACATCATCAGTTGAAGCCGTGGCGCTGTAGAAAGCACGACCAATCATCTGAGCCGGCTAAAGTAACTGGATGGCCTACCTGCCTGTCAGCCTTCCATCTGGGCACACACTGATCTCGTGCCCTCATTGGTCATGTGCGCGTTCGTGTGTGTTGGAGGAGGGGCTCTGTGAGGAAGTGGCAGATTTGTTCTGGCTGTGTATTTTCAAATTCTAGCCACTCGAGCTGGTTCCTCCAGAATGACCTACCCCACCTTTAATTGTAATATATATACATATTTTTCTAAGTTTATGGTTGAGATTATAAAAGATAATAACTGTGCACGCTCCAAAAAAGCATATAACTCAAATAACCAAAAAGTAAACACATACATTTTTTCACCTTAATAAATACATATGTATAACATTAGCTTGGTTCGTAAAAAACAGCAGGAACAAGTTCACACTCGATAGGATCTGAAGCTAATCGATTAAAATACTAATTATTTCCCAATTTATTACTTTTTTAATCTAAAAAATGCCAGAAAAGAGACCCGGTATGATTTCCACACCCAACACTAATGCATTTAGATATATACACTTATATGTGTTGCACACTACCTTTAATGAAATGTGCTTCTTAAAGAGTCTCTATGTGGAGTCATTTATTTATTGGATTTTGTTTTGCTTTAAAGTAAAAAGTCATTTTGTCCAATGATAGAAAATCAATCTCCAGCTATAGTGGTGATAATCGATTAACAGCTCTCTGTTCCTTTTCACCTTTCTGTGAGGATCAGCTGCCATCTCTGGGTTTTTAGACTGTCGTAAGTCATCTCAGTGTGGTGTAAACAACAACAACTGTCATCGACACAACCTCAGAAACCAATGTGTAAACAATATTTCTTTATTAAAGATTTAAGAAACTCCAAGCAGCATATTCATAAATAAAATCAGGGTCTCAGATGGACGGACAGACTTTATGCAATGACAGTTTCATCTTCTGACGGGGACTAACGAAGGGGGAGGGGACACATGGAGACACACTTCCTGTTTACTTTCTGTCTGCCGACCAATCACAGTAAGCTTTAGGCTCCTCTCAGTGCACCCGTCGTATCGTCGTGAAGTGAAAAAGCAACGAGAAAAAGCTACGGTTAGAAAACATCCACGAAGAGTCTGAGGAGACGAGTCGTCCAACAGAAGGAAACACAAGGGACAGTTTATCTGATGCAGGAAAGAATCTGTATTCACACAGGGACACAGCATTAGCCTTCAACCCCCCTTTGGCAACAACATGTGATGTATCCATGGTTTCTGAGCAGAGACATTAATGTGGTTTCTGCAAAGTTAGAGTCAAGAGAAGATCTGACTCAACAGGATGAACTCTGACTCAAATGTCCCTAAGACAAGTCTGGATTGGACGATTCAACGGCAACGCTTTTGATCTCACAGTTATCATATGAAGAACTCTTTAAAGATTTAAAGCAAAAGGGAAACTGATTTTACGGTTTTGGGAAACTTTGACTCAAATCAGTGCAGTATCTCCAAGAAAAGTCCTGATTGGACGATTCAACGCCAAAGCTTGTTGAGCGTTTGTTGAGCGTTTGTTCTCACAGTTATCATATGAAGAACTCTTTAAAGATTTAGAGCAAAAGGGAAACTGATTTTATGGTTGTAGGAAACTTTGACTGAAATCAGTGCAGTATCTCTAAACATAAAGTCTAACACCAGCGCTTCTTGAACATCTGGATCCATTTGTTTCCACATTAAGAACTTTTGAAAAGGTCAAGCACCAGAAGAAGTGTGTTGGTCGTAAACTTCGTCTCAAATCAATGCGGTTTCCCTAAAAATGAACATCGTATTGGATTCATTAGCGCTTAAGATTGACGTTGACGTTAACTGCTGAATCTAAAGTTAGCGTAGCTGGAAATGAATTTGAGAAATGAAGCTCTTCATTCTGTCAGGTTAGGGTACCTCTACTGTCCTCTGCAGACATTACAATGAGGACATTTCGTAAGAGAAACCCATTAAGAGACTGCGAGCTGCGTCTCTCAGAACTCATCAGGCCCATAAATGCACATTAATTGCACTTATGAAGGCAGAGAAAGGAGGGTGTGCGGTTTCATATATCCTGTTGTCCACAAAGGTTCATCATACAGTATTCTATAAAGGAAAAACAATCTTTAGCCCACATCATCAGTCCCTCTATGTTACAGCAGTTGAGGTATGGCGCCTGCAGCTCTGATTGCACTTTGGATAATGGATCTCGTTGGGACGGGAATATCTCACTCACTCTGAGCGACTAAAATAACTGCACTGCTCTGCAGGAGAAACACAACCTGTATACAAGGGTCCACATTAAATTCTCTAGTATCAAAAAGTAAAGACATATCTATATAGCTGATAGTTCTTTCTACAGGACTTCTTTATTCAGATTAAATATAACAAATACAAAAAAGGTTGGAGACTGTTAGGCTGCGTTCACGAAAAGAAAACCCCGAAAACATAGAGTACGCTAAAGAGGAATGGCAACCAATGACAGAGCTTTATGAAGATAAGTGCCAAAGAAAACACAAAGTTTTGGTTCCAACATTTAGGAATGAATGGCTAAAGACCAGGTGGCTCTGTAATGGGTTAAAGTCACATTTAAAGAACACCTTGGACTCGGTAACCAATGAAAACCAACATGTTGTGTTGAGTACAAAAACCTCACGAGATCACTCATTGTAAATGCTTTTAACAAACTTCAAGGCCCAACGTTTTCGATCATCCTCTTCCTCTTCAGAGAGAGCAGGTATTTAAGACAGGTATGGGACAGTAGAACGTGCTGGTATTTATATATCTTTATCAATAACCCATCTGTTAATACCTTTTGGAGATGAAATGGGACAAAATGCCCAAAGCGTAATCTCCAAAGTCAATGCTTTTGGGTTTTTAAGGAGTCAATTGAACTGCTCAATTCAAAGGAAAAGTATCAAAGTTAAGGGTCCAAATTGAAGAGCTAGAGATCATCAACCTTTGCACCAAACTTCATGGTAATCCGTCCAATGGTTGCTAAAATATCTCAGCATCAAACTAAGACATTTCCCAATGTTCTGGTTTTCCGGTATTTAAAAATGAACTATAATTACATCTAAAACTGCATTTTTAACAACATCGCTTTGTGATATTGATTCTCATTGTACAACATGACAGATATCTGGTGACAGTGCATCTGCAGAATCACATGTTCCCAATGAGGCCAAACTTAGATGATCAATGAACAGAAATGGAACCAAAAAGTCACCATTTCCCGATGGCTCGTCCCAATAAACCACCAGCGATCGCAGCCTAAGAGTCTCTCCTTCCTCCTTTCTGACAGCCCAGACCCGGACAGTACCAACGCCAAGAGAAGAAGCTACTTTAAAAAACAAACCACTAAGCCGTGTGTAAAATATGAACCCCCCCCCCCAACAATACACAATTTACAGTCAACGTAAGAAAATGAATGCAGACTTTAGATCTGAAAAAACAATGTATATTATATATTGAATACAAAGTAAAAGAAGATTGTGATCCTTCTGATGCTGAAGATATAGGGTTGGTACAGAGATGCATAACAGTAGGTGTCCAACACTAAAATGTCCCTACAGCGGTGCATCATGGGTAGTCATTTACATCGATGAGTTGTGGAGAGACATCGTTTAATTTCGGCACTTTAGAAAACAATCACAATGAATTTCGCGTCATTGTTTCATATTGAACAAAATGTACAAAGCCATTCAAACAGTCAGAACTTTTTCATCAAGGTTTATATATTTTGTTTTTATCTTGTTTTGAGGGTTTTTTATAACTCAACTTCCAAAAATTGAGAATATTCAAAATACACTTTAAACCTCACTTCGTTCTCTTGGTATTTACACATATGTACAAGAGACAAATTACCCCCCCCCCCCCCCCCCCCCCCCACCATCCCAAACCAAGACCCTTTTTTTTCAGATAGTGAGATACAAAATCTAACTTTTTTCTTTGTACATATTTGTTCTCCTATAATAATAGTGTTCCTCTCGTATCTAAAGGTCTCCTATCGTGCACATTGCACTTTCTGATGTCTTTATACAGAGATATGAGTATTGAGCAGAACACATCATGGACATGTATGCATACACATAGCATGATAGGAGATCTTTGACCCCAAAGCCCAGAGGTGCGACTCATCTATAAAGGAACTATTATTTTGTATATGGACGTACTGTGTGTGGCATCGATGGCTTCCATTTAATGATAATAGATTACATTTGTAAAAAGCTTTACATGGACCTGTGCATGATAGGAGATATTTCAACATGATAGGAGATCAAGTCCAGAGGTGCGACTCACCTATGAAGGAAAAACAATCCTTTTGTATGTACTGTGTGTGGCATCAATGACTTCCTCTTTAAACATGATACAGATCTTTTACCAGGAGAGATAAGAGATCTTTAAAGATAATAGGAGATGGCTTCAATTTAGTGATAACAGATTACATTTTTATAGCACTTTACATGGACCTTTACATGATAGGGGATCTTTAAACATGACCTTTGAAACATGACCTTTTAAACATGACCTTTGAAACATGACCTTTGAAACATGACCTTTTAAACATGACCTTTTAAACCATAGTCCAGAGGTGCGACTCACCTATGAAGGAAAAACAATCCTTTTTTAAATGGACGTACTGTGTGTGGCATCAATGACTTCGGGTATGGGTCCTGCGGAGACTCCCTGGTAGGATATTGGCATTTGGGTGGGGGTCTTGCCAGGACTCTGACGGAAAATCCCCCCGTTGGGTTGCCTGTGTTTGCACTGCATGGTGTTGAGAGCCTGGTGGTGGTGGTGGTGCAGGTGGAGGGGCAACGTGCTGCTGCCAGGAGCCTGAGACAGGTGGTGCGTCCTCCCTATGGACCCCCCATGGTGAGGGTGGGGTAGAGGAAGCGGCGGGCCCCCCTCCCCTGGCAGAAAGGTGGTCAAAGCGAGGTCCGAGGGCATCAGAGAGGCCTGGCTGGGCTGCATGTTGCCGATGTCCAGCGCAGAGATCTCGATAGACGGACCTGGGATCTGCTTGTGGACCAAGTCCTCGTCCAAAAGACTGTTCATACGCCGATGCACCTGTTCCAGGTTCACCTCCTTGTCCTATAATAAGAGGAGGGGGAGGATAGAGGGGAGAAAACAGAGGGGGGAGGACAGAGAGGCTGAGATTGGCGATGGGCCGGATTCTCAGGTGGGTCTCAATGTCTCTGCTTCGTGGCGTTCTGATAAGAGACTCTTGTTTAGTTGTGGCCACAGAAAGCCACACGCTGTATGTGCACCTTGAAATCAAACTTGGCCAGTGAGGATTAAAGGTTTGATGGAGGGAGGAAAGCAATGCTGGAGCCAATCGGATTGAAGTCCTTCTATCTTTAGTCTGTTTTCTCAAGGTCTTCATGAAGGATCTCTGCTGAAGCAATCATCGACTTCTGATTCAATCTGAATCGTGAATTCCTACTTCATTTGACCTCCAAGTAAACTTGTTTTTTGTTGGGTTTACAGATTAATATTCAATTAAAGAAAAACTGTCTAAAACTGAAGTCAGATTTTGAGTTTTTACAGATATTCTTTTTCAAATTAACCTTTAGAATAATCACTTTTTGTTTCTCTCCGCTGTCAAGGCTGCGTCTATCTTTATAATTTGTCAGGTTTTCTCAAGGTTTTTGGTTTATTATGTATTTATTTCAAAGAGGACCAGACGAATACATTCACCTCAGAAAAAGGTCTTCATGAAGGATTTCTGCGGAAGCAATCATCGACTTCTGATTGAATCTCAATCTTGAATTCCTGGTTTTTCATATTCAAGTAAAAAGACGTTTTCTCAGTCAGATGTTGAGGTTTTTACAGATATTCGTGTTTTCTCAATGGAACCTTGAGAATAATCTCTTGTTGTTCCCTCCCCCTGCTCTGAGTGTTTCCCTCCTGCCCTTGAACAATCTCTGCATCAGGATCAGAGACTCGGTCCGCTATCTGAACAATGTAATCACAACATCGGCTGACTCTGCATCCCGCTGACTGCAGCCATGCATACTTGTTAGGCATTAAGAGACACTTGAGTGTTTCCCCGTCGAACCTCCGTACTCTGGGTCGGAGGAAGGTAAAAACAAAGAAGGGACGCGTGACTTGCATTTAAACCGCCTGATCGACACGCTCTCCACGTCCGAGCTGCGTGGAAGAAAGCAGTCTGTTTTTATCGGGTATTTACAGTTTAAAATAAAAAAATCCATTATTTTGGAATCAAACCAGATTTTCTTTTACAGTATTCTGGCTTCATGAAGTTAATCTGGAAGTAGACCTTTGAACATATGAGTTTTTATAATTTCTGCAACTGAGAAATATCTTGTACATTTATACGTCCTCAAATAACTCTGAGCTGCGTTAAAGAAATGTTTTTATCGGGAAAAGAGTTTAAAAAGGAGAACATGTGATTGAATAACTGCTAAAATTGTAAAGATTATTAGTTATTTGAATAATTTAAATATGTCTGATGACATTAGAGCAGGAATTAAACATTTAGAAATAGTTTCGTCGAGTAAAGTATTAGCTGATGGAAAAAAACAACTGGTGACTATTTTTCAGAAGGTCAAATATAGAGATTTCCTGCTATGTTGTGATTGATATAATATACGATATCTCAGACCAAATAAGACATGTAACTGGGACTTTAAAGGCTATACTATATCTTGTACACTTAAATATGCTCAAATAACTCCGAGCTGCGTGGAAGAAAGCAGTCTGTTTTTATCGGGTATTTACAGTTTGAAATGAAAAAATCCATTATTTTGGAATCAAACCAGATTTTTAAAAAGTAATCTGGCTTCATGAAGTTAATCTGGAAGTAGACCTTTGAAAATATGAGTTTTTTTAAGGGAGGATTTATGAGATATGTCACACTTCAAAATATTGATGTACTTTGGGACTTTCATTTCTGCCTCATGAGCAATTCTGCCAGTGAGAAATATCTTGTATTTAAATGTGCTCAAATAACTTGGATGAAATGGTCTGATGATATATCAACCTCTGAACAATGACTCAACGTATGTGCCCGAGTTCCTAAACATTTAGTTGTTCTACAATTTATATTTTAAAAGTAGGCTATATTTTAAGGATTAGAACACTGAGCTGTTTTAAGGGTTAGTTCACAGTGTAACCGTTATTTGTCCCTGAACGCATCATGTGTCCCTGAACGCAGCACGTGTCCCTGAACGCAGCACGTGTCCCTGAACGCAGCACGTGTCCCTGAACGCAGCACGTGTCCCTGAACGCATCATGTGTCCCTGAACGCAGCACATGTCCCTGAACGCAGCACGTGTCCCTGAACGCAGCACGTGTCCCTGAACGCAGCACGTGTCCCTGACGCAGCACATGTACCTGAACGCAGCACATGTACCTGAATGCAGCACGTGTCCCTGAACGCAGCACATGTACCTGAACGCAGCACATGTACCTGAACGCAGCACATGTACCTGAACGCAGCACGTGTCCCTGAACGCAGCACATGTACCTGAACGCAGCACATGTACCTGAACGCAGCACATGTACCTGAACGCAGCACGTGTCCCTGAACGCAGCACATGTACCTGAACGCAGCACATGTACCTGAACGCAGCACGTGTCCCTGAACGCAGCACGTGTCCCTGCGCATCGCGGCTTGGCTCCAGCATTGGCTTCACTTCGCTCAGAGGTAAATGGTATTAGTCACAGTAACTCATCTCAGTGACACAAGTGATATTCAGAACAATGCACATGACACATTTACATATTAAAACACACATTATTAGACATTCAGAAGTTATTTACAAACCCACCCTGACGCCCACAGATTACGTTAATTTAGATATTTCATCCATTTTCTATAAGTAATAATCCTTTAGATGTTCATGCTTGTGTGAGGACATTATGAATACAATATGCTGTAGGCAATTCTTTTGATTATTTAATTATAATGTTGTGATTTTTACTATTGGAACGTTTCCGTAAATGCAAATAAAACTGTTCTTACAATATTTTGAAGGAGCCACAGGACATTCCTTGATTTGAGCTCTGACGTCTGAAAAAGGACATTCCTGTGTTTAAATGATATTGTTTTTCCTGCACTATAAACAGATATTTAAATAGTTTTTCCTTTTGTGCAAATCAGCCCAGGTTTGTTACAATGACAGCACCACAGCTGGTTTTGATCTGAGATGAAAAGGCTGTTTGTTGAGGCAGAGAGTGAGGAAGCACTTCCTGTGTGAAAACACACTTGAGGAAAGCTCAGATTCTCCAGATCTTGATCCTCCGAGGCTGAGCATCTGACTGCAGCTTTTCAAACCTTATCCATCGTATACAATTACTACGTGTTTGTTGTCTGAAATATCTCTCTCCCTCCACTCGGAGACAATTAAAACATCTCCGCTCGGGCTATTGTTTCCCGACTGGCGTCTCATTAAAATATGTTTTCAGCGCCGTCAACTGGCGGCTCGCCCTGAATAAAGAAATGCCGGGGATTAAAACCTCAGCTGGTCGTTAAAGACAGGCTAAGGATGTAAGTGCAGAGGAGGCAAGTCTGAAAGCCTAACAAACAACTTCCTGTAATGAGTGGAGGAGGGACTTTAAAGCACTCTCCCTCCTGTGACTTTGCAAATAAAGAACTGTCGAGTGGGTTGAGCTCTGGTTCATTCTGGACCCTTACTTTCTTGCACTATTTTATTTGATCTGTTTCACAAGTAATAATCCTTTAGATTTCCACGCGTGGAAGTGGACTGAGTGAGGACACATATTATAGGCCATTTATTCAGTTTTAGATTATGTGATTTTTTGATTACTTTCTTGCACTATTTCTATTTTATTTCTATTTTATTTCTATTAACTTGCACATCTCAAAACATTCTCTTATTTGATCTGCTTCATATTGTGTTAAATTAGATATTTCTTCCATTGCCTAAGTAGTAATCCTTTAGATGTTCATGCTTTCAAGTGGACTGTGTGAGGAAGTGTTGAATATATTTCTGTTTCAGATGATCTGATTTTGTGATTATTATTATTACTTTCTTGCACTATTTCTATTCTGTTTTGAATCTTTCTTTGTATTTACTTGCACATCTCAAAACATCCTCTTATTCATGAGGCTCTGTTGGAGGAGCTAATTGACATAGCCTACTGTATCTACACTACAGTAGCTGAAGTGCAAATGACGCTGTTAGAGGAGTTTGTCCTTAATATCTGAAGTGGACATGTTTCAGCGGAAGTTAATTGGTTAAGTGATGTTTAAGTGAAGCTCTGTGATTGGAGGTTGTCTTCTTAACTTTTCTGCAGCTAACCTGCTGCGTCTCAAGCTGCGTAATCCTGCTCTTACACTTTCTATTTCTGTGGAATAGCTGAGTGTGAGCAGAATGGTAAGAGGCTTTAGAAACTGGACGGTGCACTCATCATTCCTGACATTTATTTTAATGATCGCCATCATGGCTACTTAGCTAAAGTGCAGCGGTTGCTCGGGTGAACATAATACAAGTTATACGTTTTAACTTCTTTGCTTTTGGGACCAACGTAGCTTTGCAAGGCTAACTAGCTAAATTAGCTCAAATAACTTGGTTAAATGGTTTGATGATAGATCTCAATACTGACTCAACGTATGTGTCCGAGTTCCTAAACATTTAAAAAGCATGTTTTAAGGATAAGAGCTTTCTTGTTGAGTCGTTACAGTTTGAAATAGGCTACATGTGATAGTGTAAGAGGGCGTGAAAAGGAGCTGTTTTAGGGTTCCCTCACAGTGTAACCGTTATTTCTCCTGTTCAACAACACGCAACGTGAGCGCTTATGAAATGCAAACAGTTAAAGATGGAGGGAAACAGAGCAGGGAGAAACAGAAAGAGGCACCGTAAGAACCACAAGGGTTTCTGATGCAGAGATAACGTTTAATGAACATGTCGTCTGCATAGAGAGACAGGGCTGTTTGTTATTACAGAGCTGCAGCTTCTGGAAATCATGTTCGGATTTTCCATTTATTGTTTTTATCGTTGGAAGTTTTAACGAACTTTAACGGCAAAAAGTCAGATTTAAGCTTTAATTTAACTGCCTCATTTTCTGAGCTCCTATATTAAGAGAACTATGAATAATATTATACAAAACAATTCAATAAAGATGATTAGATATTTGATCGCAGTCATGGTGTTTAATTTTTGATTAAAATGAAGGACAAATGTGTGGATGTCGTACGTTGCAAAGCTGCATTAAACATTGTAGTCCCTTTAATACATCTCCTTGCTTTACTACCTGTATTTTTTATATTTATTTATCTATTTATTGATTTCCAGAACTCAGAAGGCTACAGAAATTGCGGTTACGGATTAAGAAAATGGACCAAAAACAAACCTTGTCGACGGCACAGATGTAGGTATTTATGCTGTATTTTGTATTATTTGTGATAGTTGTATAGGAGGTCTATTCTGACCTGTATCAATAGCTTCTGCTTCATCCCAGCCTCTCTCTCTGTCTGTCCAAATGTCCCTCCTCCCCTCCGATGAAGCAGTTGTAATGTCATTATATGTCAATGGACCAGAAACCCTTGCCAGTCTGTAATCCTTAGTAACCTGCACGAGATCATAGACAGTCAAGTGTAAAAGAATAAAATGATAAAAAAAGGATAGATGTAGAAGAAGGAGAGCAGAACACGGGCGTCCACATTGACATATAATTAGCAATAAGACGTGACACAGTGACATTTCAGGGGTTATGGATGTGGGAAACAGATCTTATTGCTACAGGGCGACAACATAAACCGTCTGCGCACACTTTAGTTTATGGATCCACGTTAAAACTTCACTACCTGTCAAAAAGCTGCTTTCTGATTGGCTGTTAGGAGGTAGATGCAGGTCTGAGGTCAGTTTATGTTCAAGTGTAGCGGTGGTGAAACGAAAATGTGTCCCAAATACAAATTATATACTATTACTGAAGGCATTTAGGGTCTTAAAGAGTATGTAGTGTCTCTACTTTAAAGAGTCCTCTCCTCTGATGTTCAGGTGTATATCAGTATGTAGTGTCTCTACTTTAAAGAGTCCTCTCCTCTGATGTTCAGGTGTATATCAGTATGTAGTGTCTCTACTTTAAAGAGTCCTCTCCTCTGATGTTCAGGTGTATATCAGTATGTAGTGTCTCTACTTTAAAGAGTCCTCTCCTGCTGATGTTCAGGTGTATATCAGTATGTAGTGTCTCTACTTTAAAGAGTCCTCTCCTGCTGATGTTCTGGTGTATATCAGTATGTAGTGTCTCTACTTTAAAGAGTCCTCTCCTGCTGATGTTCAGGTGTATATCAGTATGTAGTGTCTCTACTTTAAAGAGTCCTCTCCTGCTGATGTTCAGGTGTATATCAGTATGTAGTGTCTCTACTTTAAAGAGTCCTCTCCTGCTGATGTTCAGGTGTATATCAGTATGTAGTGTCTCTACTTTAAAGAGTCCTCTCCTGCTGATGTTCAGGTGTATATCAGTATGTAGTGTCTCTACTTTAAAGAGTCCTCTCCTGCTGATGTTCAGGTGTATATCAGTATGTAGTGTCTCTACTTTAAAGAGTCCTCTCCTGCTGATGTTCAGGTGTATATCAGTATGTAGTGTCCTCTACTTTAAAGAGTCCTCTCCTGCTGATGTTCAGGTGTATATCAGTATGTAGTGTCTCTACTTTAAAGAGTCCTCTCCTGCTGATGTTCAGGTGTATATCAGTATGTAGTGTCTCTACTTTAAAGAGTCCTCTCCTGCTGATGTTCAGGTGTATATCAGTATGTAGTGTCTCTACTTTAAAGAGTCCTCTCCTGCTGATGTTCAGGTGTATATCAGTATGTAGTGTCTCTACTTTAAAGAGTCCTCTCCTGCTGATGTTCAGGTGTATATCAGTATGTAGTGTCTCTACTTTAAAGAGTCCTCTCCTGCTGATGTTCAGGTGTATATCAGTATGTAGTGTCTCTACTTTAAAGAGTCCTCTCCTGCTGATGTTCAGGTGTATATCAGTATGTAGTGTCTCTACTTTAAAGAGTCCTCTCCTGCTGATGTTCAGGTGTATATCAGTATGTAGTGTCTCTACTTTAAAGAGTCCTCTCCTGCTGATGTTCAGGTGTATATCAGTATGTAGTGTCTCTACTTTAAAGAGTCCTCTCCTGCTGATGTTCAGGTGTATATCAGTATGTAGTGTCTCTACTTTAAAGAGTCCTCTCCTGCTGATGTTCAGGTGTATATCAGTATGTAGTGTCTCTACTTTAAAGAGTCCTCTCCTGCTGATGTCAGGTGTATATCAGTATGTAGTGTCTCTACTTTAAAGAGTCCTCTCCTGCTGATGTTCAGGTGTATATCAGTATGTAGTGTCTCTACTTTAAAGAGTCCTCTCCTGCTGATGTTCAGGTGTATATCAGTATGTAGTGTCTCTACTTTAAAGAGTCCTCTCCTGCTGATGTTCAGGTGTATATCAGTATGTAGTGTCTCTACTTTAAAGAGTCCTCTCCTGCTCATGTTCAGGTGTATATCAGTAGTTGTCTCTACTTTAAAGAGTCCTCTCCTCTGATGTTCAGGTGTATATCAGTATGTAGTGTCTCTACTTTAAAGAGTCCTCTCCTGCTGATGTTCAGGTGTATATCAGTATGTAGTGTCTCTACTTTAAAGAGTCCTCTCCTGCTGATGTTCAGGTGTATATCAGTATGTAGTGTCTCTACTTTAAAGAGTCCTCTCCTGCTGATGTTCAGGTGTATATCAGTATGTAGTGTCTCTACTTTAAAGAGTCCTCTCCTGCTGATGTTCAGGTGTATATCAGTATGTAGTGTCTCTACTTTAAAGAGTCCTCTTCTGCTGATGTTCAGGTGTATATCAGTATGTAGCGTCTCTACTTTAAAGAGTCCTCTCCTGCTGATGTTCAGGTGTATATCAGTATGTAGCGTCTCTGCTTTAAAGAGTCCTCTCCTGCTGATGTTCAGGTGTATATCAGTATGTAGTGTCTCTACTTTAAAGAGTCCTCTCCTGCTGATGTTCAGGTGTATATCAGTATGTAGTGTCTCTAGTTTAAAGAGTCCTCTCCTGCTGATGGTCAGGTGTATATCAGTATGTAGTGTCTCTACTTTAAAGAGTCCTCTCCTGCTGATGTTCAGGTGTATATCAGTATGTAGTGTCTCTACTTTAAAGAGTCCTCTCCTGCTGATGTTCAGGTGTATATCAGTATGTAGTGTCTCTACTTTAAAGAGTCCTCTCCTGCTGATGTTCAGGTGTATATCAGTATGTAGTGTGTCCACTTTTCTCCTGCTAGGTGGTTGGCTCTGTTGTGATTGGTCAACAACTTAGAGATGTCCCGCCCCTTAGTCTATCACGTACAATGTATTGGAGCGCTAGCCAATAGGAGCGTGGGTGTTACACAGTGATGTCACTATGTTCCAGAAGTAAATAAAGGAGTATAATGCAGGCGTTTCAGGCAATTCTCCACTTTTGTTCATCATTTTATATTAATTCCTTCAGTTAATTGGTAAAAAAATGCATAAAATTGTCGGGATAGATGGAACGGATAACTTTTAATGTAAATACCTCTCCTAAAGTTTCGAAAAATATACAATTTATTAAAGTAATGGAATCCAATTTGCCTGTTTAAATGAGTATATAATCTGGTTCTGGGACACAATGTGACTTCTGTTTCCTCTGTGGTTTAAGGCGTGTAAAATCTGTTAATTGATATGAATCTGCACTAAACACAGCAATTATCAGATGCTTCCTCCGAGTTATTGTTCGTTCATATTTATTAGAGTGCATTCATCTAAATGATCTGCTTCTCTCTTGAGAAGGAGTCACTATTCCCTCAGCTTTGTTTCATTAATCACAGCAAGGAGGCGCTTTAGAAACGATTCTATTAGCAATAACAGAGATAATGTCACCGTTAATGTTTCGAACGCAGGGTGGGCATCACGTCGAGGTTTCCTTATTTAAATTACTTTTCAGCAGAGTTGGGAAGTAGTGGAGTACAAATACTTTGCTACTGTACTTAAGTACATGTTTCTGGTATCAGTACTTTACTCCACTACTTATTTTCTGACGACTTTTTACTTTGACTTCTTACATGTTGAACACAAATACCTGTACTTTCTACTTCTTACATGTTGAACTCAAATACCTGTACTTTCTACTTCTTACATGTTGAACTCAAATACCTGTACTTTCTACTTCTTACATGTTGAACTCAAATACCTGTACTTTCTACTTATTACATGTTGAACCCAAATACCTGTACTTTCTACTTCTCTCATGTTGAACTCAAATACCTGTACTTCCTACTTCTTACATGTTGAACTCAAATACCTGTACTTTCTACTTATTACATGTTGAACCCAAATACCTGTACTTTCTACTTATTACATGTTGAACTCAAATACCTGTACTTTCTACTTCTTACATGTTGAACTCAAATACCTGTACTTTCTACTTATTACATGTTGAACTCAAATACCTGTACTTTCTACTTCTTACATGTTGAACTCAAATACCTGTACTTTCTACTTCTTACATGTTGAACTCAAATACCTGTACTTTCTACTTCTCACATGTTGAACACAAATACCTGTACTTTCTACTTCTTACATGTTGAACTCAAATACCTGTACTTTCTACTTCTTACATGTTGAACCCAAATACCTGTACTTTCTACTTCTCACATGTTGAACACAAATACCTGTACTTTCTACTTCTTACATGTTGAACACAAATACCTGTACTTTCTACTTCTTACATGTTGAACTCAAATACCTGTACTTTCTACTTCTTACATGTTGAACCCAAATACCTGTACTTTCTACTTCTCACATGTTGAACTCAAATACCTGTACTTTCTACTTCTCACATGTTGAACACAAATACCTGTACTTTCTACTTCTTACATGTTGAACCCAAATACCTGTACTTTCTACTTCTCACATGTTGAACTCAAATACCTGTACTTTCTACTTCTCACATGTTGAACTCAAATACCTGTACTTTCTACTTCTTACATGTTGAACTCAAATACATGTACTTTCTACTTCTTACATGTTGAACTCAAATACCTGTACTTTCTACTTCTCACATGTTGAACTCAAATACCTGTACTTTCTACTTCTTACATGTTTAACCCAAATACCTGTACTTTCTACTTCTTACATGTTGAACTCAAATACCTGTACTTTCTACTTCTTACATGTTGAACTCAAATACCTGTACTTTCTACTTCTTACATGTTGAACTCAAATACCTGTACTTTCTACTTCTTACATGTTAAACTCAAATACCTGTACTTTCTACTTCTTACATGTTGAACTCAAATACCTGTACTTTCTACTTCTTACATGTTGAACCCAAATACCTGTACTTTCTACTTCTTACATGTTAAACTCAAATACCTGTACTTTCTACTTCTTACATGTTGAACTCAAATACCTGTACTTTCTACTTCTTACATGTTGAACTCAAATACCTGTACTTTCTACTTCTTACATGTTAAACTCAAATACCTGTACTTTCTACTTCTTACATGTTGAACTCAAATACCTGTACTTTCTACTTCTTACATGTTGAACCCAAATACCTGTACTTTCTACTTATTACATGTTGAACTCAAATACCTGTACTTTCTACTTCTTACATGTTGAACCCAAATACCTGTACTTTCTACTTCTCTCATGTTGAACTCAAATACCTGTACTTTCTACTTCTTACATGTTGAACTCAAATACCTGTACTTTCTACTTATTACATGTTGAACCCAAATACCTGTACTTTCTACTTCTTACATGTTGAACTCAAATACCTGTACTTCCTACTTCTTACATGTTGAACTCAAATACCTGTACTTTCTACTTATTACATGTTGAACCCAAATACCTGTACTTTCTACTTCTTACATGTTGAACTCAAATACCTGTACTTCCTACTTCTTACATGTTGAACTCAAATACCTGTACTTTCTACTTATTACATGTTGAACTCAAATACCTGTACTTTCTACTTCTTACATATTGAACTCAAATACCTGTACTTTCTACTTCTTACAT